CGCTTTAGCGGGTGGCCCCGCAGAGCCCTTGTCCTCCTTAGCCTTGGCGGCTGCTTCTGCCCGCACCGACCTCATCCCAGCTTCGGGCTTCGGCTGTGCTTTCATTCGTGCCGAACCTGGTCGTGGTGCAAGGCGCGGCTGATGCAGAGTTGGAGTCCAGTCACCTCGGAAAGCTGCCTTAGGCTTGTCGCGAACTTCGTCCTTGACATCGCCTTGGGTCGCCGGTGGCATCGGGGTCGATGGTCCAGCAAAAGCCTTCCTCCTCTCCGTCACGGACAGACCGGGAGGATCTCCCAGCTCAGGGTCGTCCGTCTTGGCGATCCCTCTGGCCTTCGCCCGCCCCTGTGTGCCTTCGGGGCTCTTGGACGGGCGCCTCTTCGCAGGAGTCGGTGAAGACGAGGAGTCGGCTTCAGGTCTTGGAGGTGGTCTGCTGCCCTTGCCTGGTTGTGGACCAGGAGGGTCTTTAGGAGGGCCTTCTGGCTGGCCATGATCATGGATGATCTGCCTCATCTGGTCGATGTCGGCAGTACCTTTTATGGCCAGCTTGTACTTGCCATTTTCGTGGCGGTGAATTACCCTCGTGCAAAACCACTTCTGCGCCGAGGAGCTGTAGTACCAACAGGCGCATCCATCAGGGAATGGATTCTCTGAGCCGTCTTCCGCCGCCCATTCTTCATTCAGTTCGGTGTGGTCAGTACCGGCGGCGGATCCGGCAGCAGATGCAACAGCTATCCAATCTTCGTCCGCGGACCCAGCGGCTGGCGCCGCGTCTGCGGGTGACCCCGCTTCTTTGCTGGATCCTGCGGGTGACCCCGCCTCTTTATGGAATCGGCGGTTCCATTCCTTGAGGCGATGGTCATTGGGAAGCTGTACCCAATTTTCCCTGACAGTGTTGGCAACCTCTTCGGTCATAGGGACGCGATCGGCTTCTGTGATGCGCTTTCCTCCTCCAGGGACCTCCTTGTTAGGATCATGGACGTTGCCAGCGTCATCTCCATGAGACCAATTCCACGGGGTCTCACCGTGATGAGGACTCCTGGAGGGGCGGTCCATTGGACAACTGCGCATGTGACCTTTGAAGGGCTCGCACTGACATACTTGTTTTCTGTATGTCTTGCGATCGTTGATGATCTCCTGTTTCTTAGCCCTTTTGTCCCAAGCCTCTGGCGTTTTGGTCTTGCCACCCTTGGTACGTATTATCATGCCAGTTTCGTCCCTTTTGGTGCAGTATTCCTTAGAATACCAGTGGCGGATCACGTCCATCGAGTAGCCGGGGTACCAATTGATGTACCACTCCGGCACGTACTGAGCGGATACACCAACGGAGTGCTCCGTACTGCACGGGTAGCCCGATGCATCATGTGTAGGGCGTCGGGGAGCTGAACGGCTCCTCCTGCGGGCTGGCCCCGCTGACGCACTACCACGTTCCATGGGCCTTTGATCGTCATGCTCTGAGTCTCGGGGAGGCGATGGTCGTCTGTCCCTCTTGGCATAGCGCATGTCCTCCGAGTCCTCTGATCTGTCCTGGACCATGAATACGTGCTGATACGGGCTTCGGAAGTACCCGATGTCGTTTAGCTGCTCCATCGTGAGGTCGTTGAGGTCCATCTGGTCGCAGCCCTGCATAAATACATCCATAGACCAAGCGGGTGGCCCCGCTGCTGCGGCTGGCGTCACTTCGGCGGGTGACCCCGCTAGAGCCTGGAGTGCTGTCAGCATCTGAGGTGCCGACATGTCCGAATCCAGGTATGGACGCAGCCGTGCGGCCCCTGGGCGCGACAGCAGGTCGTTCATGGTTATCTGCTGATGTGCTGGCGCACTCAGGAGCCGGATTGCTTCTGCGACCTGCTCTTGGAGCATTCTCTTATAGTCCTCTTCGGCCTCTTCGGAGTCCGAATACACGGGATGGCCCCGCATTTCGTCATCAGCGTCTCCCGCTTCCGAGCCAGCTCGCGGAAGATCTGGCAGCAACGGCATGCCAATCACCTGCGGTGCCAGCGCGGCGGTGAGCTCTTCCTCGGTCGCCGGGACGGTCTCAGCTTCGGAGATCTCGTCGTCGGCGGGTGGCCCCGCTGGAAGACCGAACCAAGCATTGAACGCGACCTCGTCGACTTCGTCCCAGCCGTGGAACTCGTCGAAGAGGGTCACTGCGTAGTCTTCCAGGGCTACGGTCACTTCAGCGCAGCGGGCCATCACGTAGTACGTGGAGGAGCCCGCGGCGGGAGCCGCTTCTGGATTGACGTAAAACTCGTAGTCAATGTAGTCTATGTCATCCATAAAAGAATTTTGAGCCAAATGTACGGATCCCTTTCCTTTCCCTTTCGGGCATTGATCGCGCAAGTGCTCTGTGCTGCCGCATGTATGACACTTCATAGTATTGCCAGAAGCGTCCCTAGGGTTGCCCCTCCGCCCTTTTCCCTTACCGGAGGTCCGCCTGTGACCCCGACCTTTGCCTCCGATAAGAACTTCCTCAAAGACTATATCAGTTAAGGACGTGAGGAAAGCAGTAATACCCCTACCATGCATACGGCGTCTGCGACCCCCTTTGCCACGACCCTTTCCATATCGTTTGAAATGTCGGCGTACTGCACGTCTCACTTTTCTGACTGGTTTCTTCATAAAGCGCCTCCAACGGCGTTTTGATTTGCGATAAGCCATAAAAGCGGCTTCCGCTCTTTGTTGTTCAGAAAGGTGAGTGTCATCCGCTGGATAGTCATTACCAGCAGAGACTATGCCATTGTGCTCATCGTCAGATGAGGTGTCTGTGTCAGTGCCAGATTCAAACGGTGAGGGTGGCTGAGACCCTTGAGCGGATGACTCCGCTTGGCCCCAGAGGGTTGTGCCCGAGGGCGGGCTTGCAGTGTAGGCGGCGCCTGGCGAGTAGTTCGACCAGGCGTTCGCCTCAGCTGCCTCTGCCGATGCCTGGCCGGTCTGCCCTAAGAAGGCAGTGGCCTCGTTGGGCATATCGGCTGGGTCAGCCCAGGGACTTGGCTCGCCAGGACCAGCGGGTGACCCCGCAGTCGTGGCGTAGACACCTGCATGTGAGTGGTGCCCTGTGAAGATACCCGCAATGTTGCCAGGAGAGCGCTCGGCAACATGTCCGTAGTTCCTCATCCTGGTCAGCAGCCTGTCATAGTCTGCTTGTGTTCTGGGCATCTGATGATTAAAGGCTCCAGCAGGTGTTGGGCTCGTGACGCGCCAACGCCTAACGCTCTGAAAAGAATCAGCGTTAGGATCTGAAAGTTGGGGATGACAAAGCCAACAGAGTTAGCCTCGTCACGGGCCATCTCGAATCGAGCTAACACTGAGTCGATTCGCTCGCCCCTTTCGACGCGAAAGTCGATAAGGGCAGTGCCAGAGTTGAGCTGGCGCTCATCTTCCAGATTTTCAAATTTGGTGCTCAGTAGGTACAGTATATATGTGACTGCATCCGTTGGCTGTCCATTGACAGTTACACCATAGTTGATGATCTGGGAGGGGACCTGCATGGCGATACGACGAGCAAGACCTTGAAGGCCTCGTTGTAGTGCTGCAGCTTGTTGTGGTGGCGTCATATTGCCGCTCGTTACGTTTATCCATGCATGTACTTCGCGAACGTATTCGCGAAAAGGCGTAGTACCGGCAGGGTCCCATGAAGGGCCAGTAGTACGCGTGTCGTCCATCCCCTGCCGCATGTATCCCACAGCACATCCCATTATTACCCACAGAATGCCGAAGATAGCTATCTTAATCCAGTGCATGTGCATTTCGGCTTCGGTGATTGGTTTAGGCTGTGGTTTGTCAGGCTCTGGCGTAGTAGCCGTGAGGCGCCTGACTGGCACGGGATGCAGGTGGCCCCGCTGCGGGTAGCCCCGCAGGGTGACCACGTTCTCGATCGAGTTGCCGATTGGCATCTGGTGGAAGTCGAGAGTGAAGTAGCGCAGTGAAGTAGGAGAGAGCGTCTCGAGTTCGCGGGTTGCCCCGCTAGCTCGATCGCGGACTGGCTCCGCTCCTCGCAGAGCCGGCGCAACATGGTATTCCACCGTAGTAGTAGTCCACCAAGTTGTGCCGTGGATTACAGGAATCAGAGCGAGAGCCAGCCACACGAGAGTGTAGCCAGCTCCGCTACCAAGTCGAAAACATGCTGGTAAGCTTAGGTATGTGTTACGCTTTAAGCGTTGCCATATCCCAGGCTTTGGCTCATATCGCATGAGCAAGAGAGCGAGACGAAGCATGGGATCTGGAGTAAAGGATAGAAGAGGCATCTTCAATGGAAAAGGTATTTTCCGATCTCAGATACCAGTCGTGCGCCTCGGTGAGGCACAGTCATATATTTGGCTGGGCCCGGCTTGAGCCAGGCACGGCAGCGGTACATGCTCGATTTATACCTCGCCTTTAACCTTCTCCGTTTAAAGTTGCGTTTCCCTCCACTCACGCGCGCCGAAACACCCCCACCCCCCGCGCGGCCCACCCGGCACGCGACGCCCCGTGCAGGACGGCCGTCCGGCCCTCTTCTGCCCACCCACCCCCCACCCCCGCGATCCAGCCCCCGAGACGCTCACCAAAAAGTCCCGAGTCCCGAGACCTCCGTCGCAGAGGTCACGACGGCCAGCGTCTCAGAGCTTCGGCCCCAGGGAGGGCCCCCAAAACCATCGAAGCACGGCACGCGACGACGGATCAGCTTCTGGAAACGAGCTCGAGAGCTCTCGGGGAAGGGGGGGCCACGTCGTGACGACGTCAGCTCTGGTCTCTGACAGCGCGTGCATCGCTCAATCTCGACACAAATCGTTCGAGATCGGTCGATGCTGAGCCACGGGCCGCGTTCAACCTTGAACGACAGAGCTGCGGTCGCCGCTGCGCTGACACAGCACAGACCTGGCGTAAGCAGGCACAGCTCGTCGACGTGCAACAGCAAGTGCGGCCGGCGCTGTCTGCAAGGAGCCCCGCCGCTGCACGAGAGAGCACACGCGTCTGCGACTGACTGCCACGGTGCGCCCCTCGCCCTCCCCCGCCCCTGTCGCCTGGTACTTGCCCTTGATGATCTCCGACACGTCTGGGCTGGAGCATCCCGACACATTCAGCGACATCTGGCCTCCCCAGCTCCCAAGATTAGAGCCCGGGATCCGCGACTACAGCCGAACGCCGACAAGATGAGCTCGCCAGAATCCTGAAAAACAGTTATTGGAGGCCTGGAAATTGGTACCAACACCAGCCCAGGGGGTCTGCCTCCACATGAGGAAGATGATCCTAGATGTCGGTGTTGGTGGTAACATTTCGGTCACCTTGGAAACCAGAATATTACCACATCACCGAGCTCGGGATCGTCTTCCCTCGATGGAGGCACACCGCCGATCTTGGTGTTCGTGTCAACCTCTAGGCCTGCGAAGTCAGGGCCATCAACGATGTGTGCTTCCCTTCGAGTGCCGCCCTCGACCTCAGATCCACGGACGGCCTGCAGCAGAGAGTAGTACTCCTGCAGGCCGTGGCGGGGCCGAAGGAGCAACTACCAGAGCCGATACGCGACCGGATGTCGAGGGCAAAGCTCATGCCAGGACTCCTGCTAGCAGTGTTTTGCCCAAAGGAGTTCTCAAGAGGCCCCGCCAGTTCCCCAGGCCACGGACGGCGAACGAGCCAGTTCGCTCCCCGCGGCACGATGGCCATAGCCAGCGGCCGAACGGCGGAGGACACCAGAGCAGGCATCAGAGGGCACTCCAGCTAGCATGTTGATGACCTCCTACTGGACCACGGTCTGCACATTCTCACGCTCCAAGACAAGGAACAACTAGACCTGACAGCTTCCCCGTAACAGCGTCGCAAGGAGTACCGATGCCTACTGCAAATATTACTACGGCCCATGCCGCCACCCTCACTTCCACGTCCACCAGCATTTTGTGTCGCAATTCTGGAAGCATCTACCAGACTTTCACCCATACGCGGATCTCTGGCTCTCTCTCTCTCTCTCTCTCTCTTCATCGCGCATGCTAGCTGTAGCACTGCATTCGCTCAAACAGATTGGTGGTCTGCACCCGCTCTGATGTCAGAATCGCACGATCCCCAGATTTGGACCACTGGAGCGAAGCCCATCGCTTGCACCCTCAACCAAATAACACCAGATAGTGCATTCAAGGGACCCTGGATCCAAAAATGTTGACATCTCTTGGCGGTCACCATTTACTTCCGCCGGCAGAGGCGACCACGTCTTGCTTCCGCCGGATTCCGACGGCCTTCCGCTGGGGAGAAGAAGGCAACATCCCAACCGCTCGAAGGCGAGGCCATGTCTGGAGCGCCCTGGACAGGCAAAGCCCGCAAGACCTCCCTCAGAAGAGGAACTGAGCATCGTTTCTCCGATCCCCGTCCCCAGCGGCGTGGCCTGGGCCCCACTGGCCGATTCACCCCCCTAGATCGGGATATGGGCCGTTCACTTCGGGTTTCGAGGGGTGTATCCCCAACCGGGGGTGTAATTTGGTGGGGGTCTCGAAGGGGATGCGGATGGGGATGGGGGTCGGCTGAACGATACTGAGGAGCAGGGACCACCGACGCCGAAACCCACGGGGGGAGGTGGGGGCGGCCCCTGGGCGGTCGCACGCCCAAGCGCCACTGGACGACGCTCGGGCGTGCCACCGCCCAGGGGTCGCCCCCCCCACCGATGAACTCTCGGTGGCGAGGCGAGGCCAGGCGAGGCGCCGGTGTGTCGCCCCGGGGGGGGTGCGGCCCTACGAGAGCCCTACGGGTGTGTCGCCTCGGTGGAGGTGGTCCCAGGGCGATCTCGACCCATTCCCTGGGACCGGCTCTTCAGCCTGAGTCGCTGTTTGACGGTCCTGGGGTCTGGTGAGGGCCTCGATGGGCTGGAGATGGCCAGAAGCCTCATGTCAGGGTCTTGTTCTCAAAGGCGAGGGGGTCTGGGTCGGCACCGACCTACAAGGATCTCCCTGCCTGCCCGCAAGATGTCCCTGACTGTCTGCCCTGCTCCTGGGGTGCGTTCCGACCACAATTTTGAAGAGACTCCAGCCGTGGCCACGGTACCAGGAACTGTCTGCCCTGCTCCTGGGAGCTCTCCAGGAAAACCGGCGGTATTGGTACCTCCTCCTCCTCCTCCTGCTACTCCTCCTCCTCCTCCGCCTCCTCCTCCTCTGAGGTGCCCCGCTTCTCTTATGACATGCACGCACCGTTGGGCTGTCGCAGGCCCGCCCGGCGCCCCTCTTCGTGGCGGCCCCCACTCGTCCTGGCGGGCGTGCGTTCGCCCGGAAAACGGGCGGGCGGAGCATGGGCGGAGCCAGCTGGGGAGAAAGAGGAGAAAAGAGAGGCACGGCGGGATGCCAAAATTTGCCCTCGACCCCCGAGGGCGACGGGGAGGTGTTTGGGTAGTATTTTGTCCTCGTCGAGCCTCTGGAGGCCTCCGGGGGTCATCCAGGGCGGCAGCAAAATTTACCACAGCAGGGTGTCTTCCAACTTCTCCACCCACCTCCTCCTCCTTCTCCTCCTCCTCCTCCTCCTCCTCCTCCTCCTCCTCGTCCTCCTCCTCCTCCTCCTCCTCCTCCTCCTCCTCCTCCTCCTCCTCCTCCCCCCTCCACCCCCTTATGTATTAGTAACTTGTACTTGTCGTACCCCTTGACGTGTGGGTAGGGCGGGCTGGACGTTTTGTCGGAGGCTTCCTCAACATTTGTGATACTGAAGCTTTGAATCCCCCCAGCCCTCTGGGCGTAGGTGGTCTAGGGAGTTTCCTTTTCCACCCCCCCCCTTCCCCTTCGGGGAAGGTTTATCAATGATCCCCATTAGTATATATATATATATATATACACACACCCTCCCCCAGGCAACCGGCGTCCAACCAGGAACCATGCCGACACCATGCCGACCCGCCCTTCACCATCACTGTCAATAAAAACATACAAGCCGCACTGTGCCTCCACAGTTGGAACATGCGCGGCCAACCCGATGCGTTCCCCCCACCATCCTTTTCAAAAACCATACAAGGTACACTTTGTGGCAAAGTGTTCACTCATGTTCGTGAGGCTCGCGAACAATTCGTAGTGTTTCGGACAGGGACGGCAGGGGTGCCAGCATATTCCCTGCCACGCGCAGGGCGACCATCCCTGACAAAAAAACAGCAATATGCACCTCGCGGCTAAATCTGGATCGTGCGCGGCCATCCCGCGATCGCTGTCAGCTTGTTTTTGACAGCGACTGCGGGGGGGGGGGGGGCGCGTGGCCTGCTGTTCGCGGGCCCACCGATGTGTGCTGTCACGTGTGCAGGCACACCTGACGCATTCTGCACGTGCCCCGAACATGGCGCACCTGGCGCGGCTGGGGAGTGCGGCACACTTGACGCACTCGGAGCACGTGGCGCATCTGGCGCACCAGGCGTGCCTGGCACGCTCGGGCCCCAGGGGTGCCTGGCGCGCGTGGTGCCCATGGCACGCGTGGCGCACCTCGCCCACGCGTCGCGCACCTGGGATCGGCTTTGGTTCCCAGTAGCTGACCATCCAAAGACGACAGCTGAACATGCTCAGGCTCGGGTGTTACTTATGTGCTGGGAAGTCGGGTGTGAGCTAGACGACTTGCGGGCGGGCGGGTAGCTTGATCACTGTTCCCTATCAATATACACCCCCATCCCCCAGGCGACTGGGAGCCAACCAGGGTCAACGCGGGCACCCCCCACATCCCTTGTAAAAAAAACAATACACAACACACTCTACCTCCAAATTCGCAGCATGCGCAGCGAACCCGATGCGGCCTCCCCCCACCATCCCTATCAAAAAACAATGCAGAGTACACTTTACGGCGGCGGCGGCTGCGGCGGCTGCGGCGGGGGCAGCGGCTGCGGCGGCTGCGGCGGTGGCGGCGGCGGTGGCGGCGGCGGCGGGGGCGGCGGCGGCGGCGGCGGCGGCGGGTGGCGGCGGCGGCGGCGGAGGCGGCAGCGGTGGCGGCAGCGGCTGCCGCGGCAGCGGTTGCGGCGGCGGCGATTCGACAGCGGGGGCGGCGGCGGCGGCGGCGGCGGCGGCAGGCGGCGGGCGGCGCGGCGGCGGCGGACAGCGGACAGCGGCGGCGGCGGCGGCGGCGGCGGCGGCGACGCGGCGGCGGCGGCAGGCGGCGGCGGCGGCGGAGGAGGCGGCGGCGGCGGCGGATTCGCCCCCAGTAGCTGCCCATCCAAAGACGACTGCTGCATATGCTGCGGCTCGGGCCAGGCTCGGGTGCTACGTATGTGTTGGGAGTGCGGGTGGGAGTGAGCGAGACGGCTTGCGGACGGGGAGACTCTTGACCCCTCCCCCCTACCCCCGCCCCTGGACCTGGCTGGGCGCCCCGCGAGGTGTCAGAGGGTATTTGTTCGTCCAAGATTGCTCCAAGAGGGCCTCAGAGAGCACAAGATGACCTCCAAGATGGGCTCAAGATAGCCCAAGATGCCTGAAGTCGGCTCCCAAGATGCCCCAAGAGGCCCCAAGAACGCTCCGAGACGGCTCCAAGACGCCTCCGAAACCTCCAATGAGGCCTCCAAGAAGCCAAACTCCTTCCAAAACCTAAGGGAAATCAATGGTGTTGCTTTCTCGCCGTTTCGCTTCCAATGGCCATCCGAAGCCTCAAGATGGCTCCAAGAGGGCCCAAGAAGGCCCCAAGAGGGGCCCACAGGGCCCCAAGACGGCCCCAAGAGCGCTCAAGAGCACCCCAAGAGCGCCCCAAGAGGGGCCCAAGAGGCGACGTGAGGCACTCTAGAATGGCGAGGCTAACTGGAGCTCCTCTCTGCTTGTATCGACCTCCTCCAAGATGGCCCGAAGAGCGCTCCCAAGGCACCCAAGAGCGCACCAAAAGGGCCCCAAGAGGCGCCCAGGAGGCCCCAAGAGGCGCCCGAAGGGCCTCCAAGAGGTTCCAAAGAGACCCCCAAGACGCCTCAAGAGGACACCCGAGGCACCCAAGACACTCAATCAGGCCCCCAGGGCGCCTCGCCTGGGCATCGTTTCTGGATGGGCTGGTGGGATTACGCGAAGCGTCTATGATCCGCCGGCCCCCTTGGCTGTAGGCCGAAGGTTTGCTGTTCCCTGCGCCAGTTCCAGTTTCCAATTTCCACTGTTACAGTTCTGCTTCTTGCTGCTTA